ATGTAGTGCCGACGTAGGACAGTTTTTCCAATTTCATTGTACTACTGTACTATGTATGACTGTGCAATGACAATAAAGAGTAATCTAATCTTATCTTATCTTATCTTAAAAGCTGAAACTGTATACTCATCCATCTTCTTAGATGCTTATCAAACTTAGGGTTATAGTGGGGGCTGAAGCTGATGGCTGCTGACATAGGGTGAAAGTCCATGTGCACCGTCACACGCTAATGAGTTAAATCTATGCTGTAGGTGCATCGTAACCACAAACTTCTCTGAAATCCCACTTTGTAACCTACGCTGTGAACCTCTCTGGAAATGTAACAGCCCACAGTGATTATGATTGGCCGGTTCTGTACTGTCGACTCCTCCTGTGCATTTCTGGCTAATTCTTCACTGCAGTTTTTCAACATGAATCGTCACATTGGTATAAGGAATAATAATCATAGCCACAATATAAGGATTCACAGATGTCAGGAAATTCCTGGAGGTAGATGGCTGAAACTATCAGAATGAAGTTGAAGAAATCTACGCAGAAGTGGAAAAACTTGAGGGAGAAATACTTTCAACTCTGGAGGGAACAAAAAACTGACCTCAGCCAAGAGAGGAAACCCAGGACGGTAAAAGAACCGTGACAGTTTATTTGTTTATGTCATGGCTGGCACCGCATATTAAACACTGTGACACAACCACAAGGTAATCAACACATAAAACACCACGCAAATGCACAAGGGCTGGACATGGCGTCGGCCACTTATGTGGATTACATCGTAGTGAGAGACAGACAGCCACACAGTCTCACATCCACATCTATAGGCCGATTTAAACCTACAAATTAACCTAACGTATCTTTGGACTCTGAGAACACACAGGAACCGTAGAGGAAGCGTCTACTTATACGCTCTCATGGCACTGTAAACAAAAGGATATTGAAAATGGATGTTAGCTGTAGATTCATAACTAAAGCCAAATGATAACACTTGTTAAAAATGGTAAAATGCAGGACACAATAATTGTAAAACATGTTTTCTGTGTGTTGCAGTGAAATAGAGTAAAGTCATTACACCTTAACTCTACTTAGTAACTTATTTGGAGCATTTAGCTTCCTCCCCTGGTTTTCAATCAGGAAGTAAAAAATGTAGTTTAGAAGAAAATTAACAAGTAGACCTTTGAGTTTGTTTTTCACACAAACCATTAACAGAGTCAAGAATGCTCAAGTAAAAGTCCTGCCACAAACACGAAATGACAAAGGGGTTAGACTTTGTTACAAATGTCACTGTGTCCCCTCTTGTTGTGTTATGTTGGGAACAGCTGGATGAGGTTTATGATCATGCACAGACTTGTGCACGGCCTGTTCTGTTGACTATAATATCTGGTCAGTGGTGGCTCATCTTTCTGTGAGTCTCCTGTAATGAGAGAAATCATTTAGCTGGGAAAAATACTGATGCTAGTCTAAGCATGTTTGTATCTGAGGCTGCAGCATGACAGTTTTTCTGCACAGCATTTTAAACCATCCGGCACTGTTCAGCACCCAGCAGATAACGTGTGGCTTATTGAGCCTGGTGGGAGATCAGATCAGTGGGCAGAGGAGGCTAAGATAAAATGGAGGGCTTTGTTGCTTCTCTGAGATCATGAGGTGGTGGAATCTGGTCGAGACAGAGAGGTGGAGAGTTTGAGGCATTTGCTGGGATGCGACGTCAGGGTCAGTCTTTGCTAAATCGAAAGCTTCACATCACAGCCACCTCGGCTTTAATTCCCTCCAGAGTGAGTCATAATTAGCAGCACAGAGGGGGGAGGAACAACATGAGGCTGAATGATCAAAGGAAGAAATGAATCCTTTTTAACTTACTTCCTCCACTCTTCTTCTCCTCAGCCCCACCACTTTAGCTGGAATTGCGTCTTCCATCCTCCTCTTTGTGGCCATCATTGCGACCATGGTCTGCTGCTTTATGTGTTCCTGCTGTTACCTTTACCAGAGAAGGCAGCAGAGGGGCAGGACACCTTATGATGGTGAGACCTCTCGTTGTCGTGTCGATGTCTATGCAGACGACCATGAAGTATGGATTTTCCTTCGTAACTGTGCGATCTTCTTCAACCCACAGCTCAGCAGATCCCCATGGCCAGCTACCCGGTTGAGCCCATGTACGATGCTTATGGTAAACCAATTTGCCCCTCAGAGTATCCACCCGTTGGTTACCCTATGGCGCCCCAGTATCCTGGCATGCCTCCACAGTACCCAATGATGCAGCCTGGACCGTACGTACCACGCCCCATGGATCCTGCATACAGCCAGGGTAAGACCTGCATAACTTCCCTCAGAGTGAGCTCACATGGCTGCAGGGTTTCCTGGTCATGTCAGTATATGTCAAATCACAATCAAGAACAAAAACTGCTTTTGCATGTAAAGCAAAAAATGATGTGCCAACATACTGTGTACGTGGTTCTTTGGGTGATCACCTGATAATGTTTTTTTAAATATTAGAGACTTTAGTGCAGTTCACCCCAGCATGTGTTGAATTTTGTTCTGTCCAATGGTTGGACATTGTCCTCTCTGATTAGGAACATTTCCTCCCTCAGAGGAGAACTGTATAGTCTCTTCACTAGTTTCACATTTGTAGCACCTCTCTTTGCTACTTTCACAACATTGTGTCATATTTTAATAGTGAGTCTTGCTAAATTTGAGGACTTTTCCCCTAATGCTCCCAACCGATTAAAACTTTCACTAATCCTTTGAACAGATTGGGACAATTTTCCAGCTGACTTGTGTTTAATCATGTTTTTTTATTCTCCAGCAACTGTTCCCATAAACTGTAAAATTTAGCATGGATGTTTTTCGTGCCCACAGTATGAATATTTATAACTTTGTTTTCATCAGCTTCATTAAATCACCAAATACATAAATGTCAGTGACATTTAAAACTCTCTCACTCTTACCCTGTCACTATTTTGGTTTCCCAGCCATGTGTATTCTGTGTAGTTGTAGTCTGTTTCATGAACATGCCTAGCTCTGAGCTAAAATACTGGTATAATCTGGGCAAAAACTTCTAGACTTACAGTGAAAGGCTGACTGTGTGTGTGCATGTGTGTCTTCTTTTTCTACTTGTTTTTCAGCCCCACCACCGTACTCTCCACCTCAGTATCCTGGTCACTGATGGGCTCCTCTTCATGCACACAGCGGGACACTACTGCAGCTGAGCAAAGGGACTGTTTCAAAAGAAGGCAGCAGCACTTTCTCCCACACACAGACACACACACACACACACACATGCACACACACGCAGATGCAGTTAAGCACACAGTCACACGCTAAAATAACCGCTACGGCTCGATTAGCAGTGGGTTGCCTGTGAAAGAAAACAGGAGGCACTTTAAGTTCTGTTTTAGTTGTTCATTTGCAGCGTCGTCCTACTTTTCCACAGTATTAATGTAAATCAAAGTCTGTCCTGCAACCTGACGCCTGACTCCTGGGCAGGCGTCACATGATCCTGAAAGCGAGGCGACTTCTGCGTCTTGGCGCTGTTTCACCAGCCTCGTGATCTGAAACACTCACCTCAGTGACAGGGTGTCGCCAAAAGAGAGTGCTTGTTACCTTCTAGAAAAGAATGCTGTCCCTCTTTATTTGGTAAAAGAAAAAAAAAAGTTATACCTCCTCCCCCTTGTTAAGTTTGAATAAATTGATAACTGCCTGTGGTTCCGTTCCAGGTAATCTCTGCCACTGATCCACTTTCTCCGGTTATCATAGCATCACGTGCTTCTTCTTTGTCTTTGATGTTTCTAACTAAGCAAAAAAAAATAAACTGGAAAAAAGGGATCCACGTTTGATTGCAAAAGTGATGTTTGGATCTAAGGCAGGTGGCTTTATAGATCTAAACGGTTCTCCCAGTTCTTTGTAAGATGCCCTTTGTCAACTGTTGGTTTGAACTTTGTCTCGTCTTTCTAATATCTGACACAAGTAATTACTTTGAAGTAGTTTATTAGTGGCACCCTTTTTTACGATCTCAACATCAGCATGCTTCCTGGTCAAAGATACCTGTCCGCTTCTGACTTTAAAATAAATTAGAAATTAGTCTTGATTAATTCCATAGTGACGGGTAGGGTGTTTCACAGTGAAATCCGTGTTAACGTCTATTCCTTCTAACATATCAGGACAGGGGAGTTGCAGGTCACGCTGTTTGATTAAAATAAAATATCCCGCCTTACAGTAACTAACCATGGGAAAAAAGAGATTAACTATTTAAATGAATATTTTGTAAATCTGTTCTTCAACTAAATATTTTATGATATTGTAACGAGTTATTTTAAAACCGTGTATTTTTATTGTACCATGAGATATGACGTTTGGCATCTTTCCATTTACTATTTATTACTATTTAAGTTACCTTTAACTGTGAATGGGTTCTCACCATCTGGACTAAGCTACGAAGCCAAAAACGACTACTGCTGAAAGATCTCCTCTCTTTAAAGGACTCGTTTGACATTTTGGAGAAGGTGTTTGCTTTCTTGTTGACGGGTGCACATTTAGTTTTTGTTTTTTTTGTTTTTTTTGTTTCTTTCCCGCCCCTTTATTGGCACATTTGATATATTGGCAAAATGTAGTTATTGTCTGTAATCCTCTGCTTAAAAACAAAAAAAAAATTCTGCATTGAATCAGCAAAAATGATGAAGTTGGCAGTAACATTTTCTGTAGTTGTATTAATTTTGTGCTGCATAAATACATGCAAAAATAATTAAACCTAAAAGACTTTTTAATAAAGACTTTTTGGCTTCCTTAACACAGGTGTTGCAGCTCATAATGGTGTTGCTCATCGTAACTGCTTCCTGGGTACGTCAGTTTATTTGAATAAACTTGTACACTGATTATGTTTTAAAAATGTGAAACAGTTGCCATCAAGCCGCAACAAAAAAAAAAGTAGTAAAAAGTACATTTATCTTGAAATTTCGAGGCCTTGTAGTTGCAGTAAACGGTTGAGCTGTTGGGAAATGCACTCATGTGGTACCCACCACACTCTGCTATCAGGTCAGTCCCTTTCTGCACATGTGTGGTTAATTATAGGAGAAGCAAGTGGCCGATAGCCTACCTCAGCATCAGACTAGAAGCAGGGTAAAGGTCTTGGTTTAAAAAAGAAACTTCCTACCGAAACTTTTAAAAAAATCTGAATGCTAGCACAGGGTGTTGCACAGAATAAACATGTTAATAAGTGTCAGGCACTGTTTCCAGGCCTTGAGATTCGATTCTGGGGGAGGTGAAGTCTGTTTTCCTCTGTCAGCGTGAATTTCTCCTGATCATAACCTCAACATGTTCCCATCCGTAACCCCAGCCAGTCGTCCTCTAGCCGTCCACCTGCCAGCTCCTGGCTCTAACAGCCTTCTCATCTGGCTTTAAGTCGGCAAGAAAGCAGACGGTGGATTTCCCAAAATGTCAAACTGTCCTTTTCAATTTCTCCTTGCAGGTTTGGGCTCCAGTGAGGTCAGGGCCCGTAACCTGTAATCTCCTTTAGCTTCGAGGGCATCCCTGATCCTTCTTTAAAAGGTTTGAATTGAAAAACACGATGCCTCCTAATAGGTGATCCCTGGATTGTCTTTTCAGGTGTAGTGTATTAAGCAGCTCAAACATAATGTTAATGCCTGAGAGCTAATATTACTGTCACAGCTAGTCTGCAGCATAAATTACTCACTCCGATGCCGACGTCCAAGTGTACAGATTTGTCGAGCCTTTGTAAAGCACAAGGAAGACGCTGGGATTTTCTTTGTAAAGATGCTTTCATAAGTAGTTTGATATAACATCAGTGATGTTTCTGTTCATTTGTGCTTCTAAACCAACCAACTCCATGAGTGTGTTTTAATGACTTACATCAGGTTCAGAGTCTAGGTATGGCTTCATGTCTGTCGTCATATGGATGGTATGACACTGTAAAATAAAGTGACTGGAAAATGTTTATTTCTTTTAACATAAAATTTAACTTTGGAATGTAACAAATTGCTGTCTGTGTTTCTTTCTGAGTTTAAAGAAAGAAGTGTGATTTTTATCTACAACACTGGCCACTAGATGTCTGCATTCACCCCCAAAACAGCTTAAATGTGGCATTTGAAGGTGTTTTATATATTAACAGGGAACTTACACACTGGATGAGTTCATACCAGCAATACAGTGTGATTCAAAATACAATCATAATTCTAAAAAACTTTATTTAATTGTTTTTTATCGTAACTTTATTAAAGTAACCCCCCTTTTTAAATTGTTTTTTTTTATATATGTACTTATTTTGCCTGTAAATATTTGCATGTAAATATTGGGAGGAAAGAAATGAGAAAACAATGTAGGATCACAGGATTACTCACTGGAGGCAGAAGTTACAGCTTTTTATACATGACATAAGTTATGTTAAGTAATAGTAATTTTTAAAAAGTCCCAATATTTCTACTCTTCACATGCTCTCTGGATTAAACAGTTTCATTATTGTCCATTCTGTTATTCATGGCTTTTAGTTTAAATAAATTCTTCTCCAAACAAAATTACTTTTTTTCACATAACTTTGTTTTTGAAGTTTTTAATACAATGCAAAACAAAATAAGCTGAAGTTAAGTAGACTTGGTCAAGACGACCTGCTGAGGTTCAAATTAAGCATCAGAATGAGGAAGAGAGGGGATTTAAGTAACCTTGAATGCGGCACGGTTGTTTGTCCCAGACGGGCTGGTATGAGTAGTTCAGAAAATGCTGACCAGCTGGGATTTTCCCACACAACCATCTCTACTGTTTACAGAGAGTGGTCCAAAAAAGAGAAAATATCCAGTGAGCAGCAGTTCTCTGGGGTGAGAGGAGAGTGACCAGACTACTTCAGGGTGACAGGAAGGCGACAGTAACTCAAATTTGTAGAATATTAGAAAAATGTGCCTTGATTTCTGTTGTGACATTCAGACGGTCGATCATAATTTGGTAAAAACATCATCAACAAATGGATCCACCCTGCCCTGCATCAGCAGTTCACCCTGGTCGTGGAATAATAGTGTTAGGGGTAATTTCTTGGCACATTTTGGACCCCTTTGTACCAACTTTGTGTCTTTTAAACACCACAGCTTACCCGAATATTGTTGCTGACCACATCTATCCCTTTATGATAACGGTGTACTTGTCTTCTGATGGCCACTTCCAGCAGGATAATGCGCCATGTGAAAAGTCTCTCATCTCAAACTGGTGTCTTGATCTTGACAGTGAGTCCATTGTACTCAAATGGCCTCCACAGTCACTAGATCTCAGTCCAATAGAGCACTCTCGGGATGTGGTGTAACAGAAGATTCATATCATGGATGTGCAACCAAGAGATCTGCAGCAGCTGTGTGATGTCTTCACGTCAATATGGACCAAAATCTTAGAGGCACGTTTCAAGCACCTTCTTGAATCAAAGCAGTTGTGCAGACAAAAGGAGGTCTGACCCCAGAATGAGCAAGGTGTGCCTAATGAAGTGTCTGTCGAGTGCACAATACCATAAAGTGTCTTTAAAAAGTAAAAAAGCTCAAATTAAGTATAGTAAATATACAGTGAAACACTAATGCAGTGTCACATCTTTGTATTAAATAATTAAATATATGTTTAATATATTATGGGAATATTTAGTATCATATATACAGTATGCATATTTTAAACATATATTCATTATATTTGTATTTATTTTTATCCCATACAATATTTTATTAACTATACACTGGCCTTTGTATTACAGCAACAAGTTATTGACTGTGTGACTACAATAGAGTAGCGATCCCCACTGGTTTAAAAGCGAGCTCTTATAAAACTTTTTTATTTGCGAGCGACTGTATAAACATCACTGAACTGGGCTCCAATATAAATACAGATTGTGTAATAGGAAGTCTGTGTAAGCCTGCTCTGGCATCTCTGTAAACTTCAGCCCTTCCCATTACCTTTAAAGGAGTGTGTACCCTGAACTAAATATGGACATGCACTTTCACAGGATTTCGAAGAATGTCCCAGCCTCACAGTCCACTTTGATGATGCGAACCTCTCACAGTTCGTCACTTGTAACCCTCGCTGCAAGACTCTGAGACCAGCCTCTTTGCACCAGGATTGATGCCTCTGGTGGCTTTTTGGTGAGTGGGACACGACACAACAGCAGGACATCAGCACATAGGAATAGTCAGCTTATAATTTGAATTTAAATCGAGGGATTTGCTTGAGCTAGATGTCCAGACGAAAGATGAAAGGCCTGACCTGTATAGGTCGCCAGGTCAGCGAGGACCCAGACCTGGACAACCTGCTGTCCACCCTCTCCCCCGAGGAAATAGAGGAGCTGAAGATGGACATGATGAAGGTGCCAGACATTAACCCCGAGGAGGGGCTCATCATTGCAGGGGAGAACCAACCTGCGCAGCCACCTATGAGCAACAATGTCTGGGATGCAACGACGAAACAGAGAGACACCAAAGGGAGGCTCAGCCAGAGGGAACCATCATTTGAGGTTTGTGAGGAAATATGCTTTGGCTTTGACTCATGAGTGTTTTATGATGAAGTATGATCCTCATCTCTCTCTTCATATGTTTATATTCGACTTCCCTTTGCCAGTTTTGCGCGATCGTGGCTCAAGAGTTGGCAGTTCGTTTTGTAACCGGAAGGTTGCCGGTTCGAGCCCTGGCTCGGACAGTCTCGGTCGTAGTGTCCTTGGGCAAGACGCTTTACCTACTGGTGTTGGCCAGAGGGGCCGATGGCGCAATATGGCAACCTCGCCTCTGTCAGTCTGCCCCAGGGCAGCTACAACTGTAGCTGCCTCCACCAGTGTGTGAATGTGAGAGTGAATGAATAGTGGAATTGTAAAGTGCTTTGAGGGCCCCGAAAAGCACTATTAAAAATGCAATCCATTATTATTATTCATTATTATTATAACCAGATTTAAAAGGAGCTATGAAATCAAACTGACTGATAGGCTACAGCATTGCATAATACCCACAGCCCCCTGGATAGCTTTCATGTCTATTTTTCATTTCACTTGAAGCAACTGGACCTCATGCACCCCGAGTCCCATCAGCTTAAAAATAGTAGTCCCCAGAGTTGACTCCTGTGCCAGGAAAAGCAGTGAGTCCCCATCTATGACCCGCCTACATCCACTCCTTACCCTTAATTGTCATCTGCCAAACAAGCAAAGCACAAACATCTTCTCCAAGAGGCATTTGTGTAATTTATTGGAGATGCTACACAAATTTATTGCCATTAGTATTAGCATGATTTCAATCAGTTTGTGTGCTTAGAAGAGAGACACTTAAGTGGTTGGAGCAGCGGCTCTGCGGAGCTTCTTAATCCCGGCCTGGTGGAATTTCTTGGTTGATTGCTCCTACGCTCACTGCCTTTTAAGGATGCATCTGCCAGGGCCACGGCCTCACGAAGCAAAACAGATGGAGGCTCACAAATCAAACACTTAGCGAGCTCCTCACTGCAAATGTATCCCTGTGCTAAAAAAAATGGATAGTGTCCGTTTGCTGACTGTAAACACACATGCCCTATTGTGAGACGCTGTTGTACAATAAAAGACAGCACATCTGCACGATCAGATGTCTTATCATACTTTACATGTCATGCAATATTTGCTGTAATTCTGTGATACTACTTTTTCTGTGCTCTGTAGCTAATAAATTGAGACTCTGCTGTGATTTATTGTGCTTAGAGCGCTGCATCATTTGACATGCTGCTTTTCACAGACGTTAAATGACCCATGTAATTTTTTGTTTTGTCATACTGATGAGGAAAAATTTCCTTATCACACTCCTCATCTTCCTGCAGGGAGAGCCGAAGAAAGAGAGCCGGAAGCAGGAGTACCTGAGGAAGATGGGTCTCAGCCAGGAGGGAAATGACGATATGAAAGTGGGAATGCAAAGACAAGCTAGTGTCTCAAATGAAAGAGATATCAAGGCGGAGGACAGAAACAGCAAAGGTCCTGAAAGTTCAAAAGAAGACGGGAGGAAGTCGGGAGGAAGTCGAAACAGGAAGCTGGATAGCAGAGAGAGCGACACGAAAGAGGAGGCCCGTGACAAAGAGAAATATGAGGACAACAGGCTGAGAGACAGAAGAGAAAACAGAGTGAGCACAGGCAGCAAAACACAAGACGTGATCTCAAAGTTACAGGAGAAAAGGGATGAGAGCAAAGAGAAAGAAAGGAGGGAAGACTGCAGGAGACGAGATGACAGCAAAACCAAAGACATTATCTCAAAGCTACGAGAAAAAAGCGAGAAAGATGTGGGCAAGGAAAAGGAAAGAAAAACGGAGAGTATCAAGACACAGGGGCTTGTCTCTAAAATGGTGAAGCAGAGCAAGGCATCGGAGAGCCAGCTTCAAGAGTGTAAACCAGAAGAGAAGAAGGCTAAAGCAGAGGAGAAGAAATCTGAATACAAAAACAAACCTGATGTCAAACTCGAACGACAACCTTCTGAGAAAGACGAGGTGAAACGTGACAAGATGGAGAAAAGAACAGACAGAGAAGAGTTGGTTAACCACAGTGACCACGTGAAAGAGAAGTTTAATGCTGAGCGGAAACCAGAGGAGAAGGTGCAAAGAGAGGACGGTAAGGTTAAGAAAGCTGAGGATAGTGGGAAACTTGCTAACTGTGCTTCTAAAAACAGCCCTAACAGCAAGGTGAAGGAGGCAGAGGAGGAAGACGAAGACTCGAGCATGTTTGATGAGCTCATGCAGCAGGTGCGAAGCAACAACCCCTCCCTCACTGAGCTCAACGTCAACAACTCAGAGGTCATCAAGACGAAAACGCTCATCGAGTTTGCAGAAGCTTTGCACAACAACACCCACGTCAAGACGTTCGCTCTCGCTAACTGCCGTGCGGACGACCATGTCGCTTATGCCATTGCCGGCACGATCCGCAGCAACAAGACTATCACCAGCATTAACCTCGACTCCAACCATCTCACCGGGAAGGGCATCCTGTCTCTCATCCAGGCGTTGCAGCACAACTCCACGCTGACCGAGCTGCGCTTTCAGAACCAGCGGCACATCTGCGGAGGGAAAACCGAGATGGAGATGGTCAAGATCCTGAAAGACAACACCACCTTGCTCAAGCTGGGCTACCACTTTGAGTTAGCAGGACCAAGAATGACCACGACAAACATACTGAGTCGCAACATGGACAGGCAGAGGCAGAAGCGCCTGCAGGAGCAGAAGCAGGCCCAGGCCAATGGAGAGAAGAAGGGAACACTTGAGGTGCCCAAGAGCGGAGGTGGAGGATCTCTGAGGAGTTCTCCCAAAGCTTCGCCTAAACCTTCACCCATCCCTTCACCTGTGCCTTCGCCAAAGCTCACTCCAAGAAAAGGAGCTGGAGGTCCGGCTCCACCTCCGCCTCCTCCTGGGGGTGGACCACCACCTCCTCCACCTCCTATGCTGGATGCAAACCGCCCAGGTGGTACGAAGAACTCAAGGGACCAACTGCTTGCCTCTATCAGAGGAACCAATAAGAAACAGCTGAAGAAGGTACATCAGAAGGGTTGACAAAGAGGTTAGCTCACCGATGCTGTGTTTGGATTCACTAACGTTTTATTTTTCTCACAGGTGCCGGTGCCAAAGTGGCTGCAGTGATATTTCCTGCTGGAATATAAAGTGAAGAAGAAGAAGAGCAAGGGAGGGAGAACAGACATCTCACCAGAGGGTTTCTAGGGGATAACCTTTATAAATTCCCCTGGCCGGTTAAAGTGCAGTGGGGCAGATGAAGACAGTGAAACATGAGACGTTTGGAAGAACAGCCATCACTATGAGTTCTCCCAACAACACTGGACCAAAAAGACTCTGTGGAGAATGAGTGATGAAGGCCTCTCTGCAGAGAGTGCCATGGGTTTGAGGCTGTTTGTCTTCCATTCATACTGACGCTTGGCTGGTTATTTGCACTAGATAATATGAGGCCGATCATATAACATGTTGGCTTGTATATGCATCTGAATGTGAGTGTGTGGGAGAGTGTGTGATGAGCTTAACAAGAGATTCAAACAACTCTATAAAACTCTAATATTCAACAGTATGTAATTGAGATTAATTTGAAAAGTTATTTATTTGTGGAGAGGGAATCCACCCTATCAGCTGTAAATCTGTAAATCAAACTGGGAATATCAGGGAATTAACAAACATGGCGGCCTGACTTAAGAAAATCTGGGTGGGTGGAGAAAACAAAAAGGTCAAGGTGGTCTTTGATTGTGTGTCTCAAATCTCAAGACATCTCAGGCAGGTTTCGAAAGCAGCCCATTGTCCCAGGAGTCCTGGGACATAACGAATGAGTCTTAGCATGGAAATAATTACATCATGCATTTTATCAGGAAGTGCAGGGAGATAAGTTTCAGCATCTGATGTTGCGTTTTGTGCAGAATCATTCTAGCCTGGGTTTTACATCAAAATGTCAGAAACGCCATTAAATCAACACTACTGTTGGTTAATGTGCTATTTAAAAGTGAATATCAGTTCTAAAGGAAATTTAATGTGATTAGCAAAAACCTGAGTGTTGTAATGAAGCACATACATTATTACATGTTTTTCTTACAGAGCCTGTATGTTTTCAATAAAAGATTCTGCTATGTTTGCAAGTTTAATGTTACCCGTCTGATAGAAGTGATTGGAATCTGTTATTATATTATAATTTTAGCTACAATAAATGAAATTATGTATATGATAATCTTGTTAATTCTCTATATATGTGCATATGATTATATTTGTACAAGTAAAGATGTGCTCAGACGTTTACATCACTGATCATGGGCATGTTTCAGGCTTTTAATGATTTCTTTTAACTGTTCTTTATCCATGATGCAATGACTGTACAGCACACAGCTTTAATTACTTTGAAAAACAAGAACTTGAAAGGCTCACCTCTAATCTTTCAAATATAACTCTTGTCAGTGTAGCACAATTGGTCAATCTTGGCCTTGTCTGACCATAAAACATTTCTCCAGAAGGCATTTGGTTTGTCCATGGGGTCAGCAGGGAAGTTTAGTTGTGCTTTAAGGTGTTGATTTTGGAGCAGGGACCCTCTCAGACAATTGTGATGGCATGCTTAGAAATGGTTCCATGAAATGTTCCCAACTTGTATAAATCTACAATTCTCCTCAACTTCATTGAGTTCTTTGGACTTCTGGAATTCAGTGGTTGCTGTCTAACAAATGCTTTTTATGGAGACAAAGAGGATCTACCAATTGTAATCTCTCGTGATCATTAACAAGAAGCAAATAGGCCTCGGCCTTGTCGAATTAAAAGACAATTTAAAACCTTCAGCAGTGCTTATTGAAAGGTTCAAGTCTGTGTCTGTTTTCAGTCTGTGTGTATAATTGTGACCCTGTGTGGATAGGAAAAAATCCAAAAGAAATGCAAACCCAATTCTTGCATTTTAAAGTAAATAAATATGTATGCTGTACAATCCTTCCACCCTGGAAAAGAAGCAGCTCAAAGAAACCCTTATGAGCCCCAAATGATCATCACATTCATCCCTATGATGAGTGTATGGAAGCTTCTGACCACAGCTGTATATACATTCAAAAATGCAATGGCTTGTACTCGCAGCAGGATTTTATGACATCACTATGACTTTTGTGGCTAGTTGGGGTCCCATGACTTACTTAGACTAAGGTGGAAACTTGCGGTGTCCGTATGCCGAAAAATACCTTTCCAGGAAAGCAGGAGGCCTCTCGTGTCTCGTACTTTAACTACTGAAATAAACATGGATTCACATTTTTTAAATTTATGTATCTGCATTTCTTGATGGATTAATTTTAAAAACCGCACGGCAGAACCTTTACCAGACACAAAACATTATATCAACTAGTGAATGTTTTCGTAGCATGTATATCTGTGCTTCTGCAGTGGACCATGAAGAACTTTTCTTCTATCTGTTGCTCTTTACATAATGTGTTTAAAGCTACGTGGAAACATTGGGAGCTGTCTAGTGTCCACCCACCAGCTGGAAAGGTAGCCGCCATCCAGAGAAAAAAGAGAGCAGCAGCAGCAGCAGGCCAGTTTATCTCTCTGCAGCCTTGCCTCAGTCTCTGCATCCACAAAATGCCTATATTTGGTCATTTCTCAATGAGGGCTTGCTCTGTAAGTCATTCCTTTCTTGTTCCTAATAATGGGCAGTGAGCCAGCCTTCTGTATTTTAGCTGTAGCTGCTACTCTGACCAATAGTCTCAGAAGGAAGAAAAAGAGGGGAAGGAATGAAATGTTGAGATTACTGGTTTTCAGTGCCATCAGAAGGCCTCTAAGTACATTGCATTGCTATTACTAAGAAAACACTAGGAGCACAGCAGAGTGTGATTATTTTGCTATGAAGAGTTCTATTTGTGTTGCAGAAATGTGAAAAAAAAAGTTTATTAAGGGGTGTTCTTTTGTTTTTCTACCTGCTTCTTAACCTTTGTCACTGTAAATAAGACTTTATGTGATCAGTGTGACATTGCTTCTGTTGATAGAAATGTCAAAACTCTCTTATACCTGTCTGGCTGTCCTTTAATTTGCTTCATGTTATGTGAATTAGCAAACACTCAAGTATAATACAAGTCTATAGTGCTTGAACAGTTCTACTTTTTCACTTTACACTATTCATTACAAGATCTTTTTTTTTGTATATCTGTGGATAGGTTTAAGAAATAGGCTGTAATAAACTCTCAGGACAGCAGCCTGAAGCTCATCCTTCGTCCCTGCATGCTCTGTTCCTTTAAGAAATGACGTTGTCTCTATAGTGTCGTTACGTCAGGTGTTCGATAATCGTTACGTCAGGCGGAACAGCAAAGAACAAAATGGAGGAGTATGCCAGAGAGCCGTGGTGAGTCCTAAAATTAAAATTAATCAGTTTCCCGCACCGTTTCAGCGTGTACTGCAGTGGGCTGCGTTTTGAATACATGCCATGTTAGTTGTGTTTAATGTTTTTATTTTATATCACGTGACACGACCGAAACACCTCGAAACCGGCCGGCTAGCTGCCGTTAGCAGAAATGCTAACTTCGCATACACAAGTGAAGGTAGTTTGAGCGAGCACTGCGTCGGGACGGCTAAGTCACGTTGTGACCTTGTCGGTTTTATTGCCACATGTCATTGCTTTAAATTTACTGACCCCACAAACCGGTGCTTAAAAAAGGAATATAACATCTATTGTAACCGCATACTGGTAGCCATTCGGGAAAAGTTGGAGTAGTTATTTTAGTATTATTTTGCTTTGGCGCACAAGTAAGCTAGCTGGATTAGCTACTTGTGCGCTATCTAGACTGCAGCCTGATGGCTTCAGCTAGCTTGAGACATGTCCTGTTCAAATAGTTTATGAACTTTTAACAGCGTCACTGAGGATTTAAAATAAATGTTTTTACAAATACATACATTTTTTCTCGGTGGCTGTCCTCGTGTATGCTTATTTTGGTTTAGGTTTAAGTTATAAGAACCGTGAACTAAATAAACTTCTTAAAAGTTCAAAAAGGTTGGCCTGGTTCGCTGTTTTTCTCCCACTTGTGTTTTTAAGTATTTTGGCCAGCTTTTAATAACAATTTAAGATCGCATACTAATGGTCAGAAACACGAGACACAAGGTTACTGTCCTTCAATATCACTGCAAAATGTTCGTTTCGTGATTTAAGATGTAGTGCATCTGTTTACGTAAACGAATGGCTATGAGTAAATAGAAGATCCAGTTTTACATACATTATTTAAAACTGTTACATTTTCCTGATTTTGACCAGAAGTCATATTACATTGTATGCAACCATGTAAACCCTTTCTAATAAAGTCGTATGTGAGAAGTAAACGTGCAGTCTGTTTGTTTAAATTTGAGATGCGGTCATGTGAAGTATAATCCTCACTGCCCAAACAAACAAAATCTTGTAATGCTGTAATACTTCATGTTTTACGCTGGTTCAGAGGTGGTTATTAACATAGGACACAGAGAGTGACCCTGTGAGTTTGTGTGCGTTCACGCGTACGTGTGTTTTTCTTCGTCTGCCTCCATTTCACCCTATCCCTAGCATCGTTTTCTGTCACACCAACCCTCTGCATGTCCTCCTCCACTACATTGCCCCTCTCTGAGGGCTTCTGCTCATGTCTGGCAGGTCCATATTTTTTGTCAAATATATACACACTAACCGTCCACAGCACACGTTCAGACCATCTCAGCCTTGCCTCTCAAACTTAGTTTCTGTTTAAACTGAGCTTTCGCTATGATACCCATTTCTAATCTCGTCCATTCTCTCTTAGTTCACTGCCAGTGGAAATCTTAACATCTTCAGCTCAGCCTCCTGTCTTTTTGTTAGTGCCATTGTCTGCTCATCATACATCTCAGCAGGTCTCACTACTATTCTTTTGTAAACCTTCCCTTTCACTCTTGCTTCTGTCATAAATCAGCGCTGACACTAGTCTCCATCACCACCACCCTGCTGAATCTCTTCTTCACTTCTCTTGTGCACTGTCGGTTGCTTTTGGATGTATTTAAACTCCTCTGACTACTCTTCACAGCTTCCCTGTTACATCGGTCTCCTTCTCAAAGGCCAAGTCTGTGTGTGTGTATAGTTAGATTTTAGAGTTTTCAGATGACCTATATCTTATTGTCATATTACCAGTAATAAACTAGTTCTTCTTCCTTTACCTTTGGATTAATTTAGACTTACAGGGAACATTAAGAGATTGTTATGAACATGCAATGAGAGATCTCAAATGTCATGACATTATTAACTTAAACAAACTAAAATGTCTGTGTTTTGCTTTTAGCCCCTGGAGGATTGTGGATGACTGTGGGGGAGCTTTCACCATGGGAGCTATTGGAGGAGGAATATTTCAGGCAGTGAAAGGCTTCAGAAATGCACCCTCGGTAAGTTCAAGGACTGTTTTCTGGCCTCAGTCAAAGCTGACATTCAAGGTACTGTCCTTGGGGTCAGTGTCACACTCAAAGACACTTGATGATAAAGCAGTGTTTCTGTTCCTGTAAACAGGAAATTTTCTTTTTAATCCAACCTGAATTTCAAAGACCCACAATTTTTTCAACTTATGTTATTAGTCATAATCTGAAAATTCTGAATCTTTGGTCTCAGAAATCTTGACCTGACAGTGAATTTCCACTGATGCATGTTTTTTGTCTCTCTTTTTTGTAGGGGATGAGCCACAGAATGAGGGGTAGCTTAACTGCTATCAAGACCAGAGCCCCACAGCTCGGGGGTAAGAACAATTGCTGAACTGTTTCAAAGGTCATTTCTCTTCCTTTGTAAAGAACATGGGCTGTAGTCAGCAGCATGTTGTACATCGTCTGCAGTTCCGATGGATGGTGACAAGTTAATCTTAGGAAATATTTCAGCTTCATACAAGTAATTATCGTTTAATTAAATAAGCTGCTATTGGAGCCTGAAGGCAAAATCTGTGTGCAGAATTATTAATACTTTATTTGCTGTTGAAGTGTGTTAGTGGTAGAAGTCACTTATGTAAATATGTGACGCGGGTGATTGCTTGACAAAGTGACAAGCGTATCTTCAATGATAACTTCTTCAGCTGATGCAAATCTTTTCTTTGGCGTGTTGCAGGTAGCTTCGCAGTATGGGGAGGCCTCTTCTCCATGATTGACTGTGGTTTAGTAAAAGTGCGAGGGAAGGAGGATCCATGGAACTCAATAACAAGTGGGGCCATGACAGGAGCTATTCTTGCTGCAAGAAGTGAGTAGTCAATAGAAAACTTGCATACCTCATACAAACAGCAAATGTGCTTTCACATGCATGTCCACATTTATTACAACCCCTCCTGAGTGTGAAATTTTCAGGCTTTTTTCTTCAGTGGCTTCTTGTGGGAGTTTCTTAAAAAAGAAACTGCAAACCTGCAACAGCTGGTCCAGTAAACCCAGTTTTCAGACTTTCCTGCAATCAGTATGAGGAAATGGAGTTGTTGATTCTTGTAACTGGTCTGCATGTTTTCATTTTTGTCTACTTCTATTTATAGATTAGTTTTTGCATCACTTTCTGGTCATTTTGCTTACTTTACTGGAGCAGAAAAACTTGAAGCTTATTTGTACAGGGACTGTGGGGTCCTCATATAATTCTGAACAACTTTAACAAAAGATTGAATAGACAGAAGTGGTTTACACATTTGCCCGACAAGCAAAAGATTCCCAGTTCCAGTGGAGTTGCGTCAGGAATGGTGAGCAGCCGAAAGTAGTTTGAAAACACTTGTGCTATATACCTTTCGTTGAAATGGATTATAATAAGTTGTATCCAAAAATAGTGGAATAAAACTGATACAAAAATTGATGGTGGGAACATTT